ATTTAGCTGTGCCATAGTTTTCACCGATTCGTGAGAAAGGATTTAGAAAATAGCAGCTAGAAGTTTAACATCTATTTGCTAACCTCATCTGTCTGCTAACTGGTGTTGGCAGGTTTCTTACTGAGCATCCTTGATGAAAACCAGTAGGACTCATGCTGCCAACAAGGTTGATAAGAATGAAATTTGCAGGCCACACAACCAAGACAATAACCTGAAAGAGGCTAAAAAGCTTAGTAGAGCTGCACAATTGGGTGATAATTTTGCTAGAGCTGTTAAACAACTGGTCCTTTTCAGATTACACTCAGTGGTATAATCCGGTGTAGAAGTGTAGTTTGACGTTTTGGAAAATTTGCTGCTTTGCTTTAAAATGATACCTAATGTTACCAGATTTGAGAAAGTGGTGGTCTTCTCCTGAGTGGCATGAGTAAGAATTCATAATTGTTAAGTAAATGTGTGTCTATGTGTTGGTGTAGGCTCCTATTGAGTATCAGGCACTGATGCAGATGGAATATCTGGACAGCGTCGTCAATGAATCTCTCCGACTGTATCCCATTATCTTTCGTGTGGAGCGTGTGGCCAAGGCGACTGTGGAAATAGATGGCCTTGTGATTCCAAAGGGTATGGTCATCACGGTGCCCACATGGACGCTGCACCGGGACCCTAACCTGTGGCCCGAACCTGAGGAGTTCAGACCTGAGAGGTACAGGAAGGATTTATATGTTCAGATTTGAGAGGTCTTGAGCTCTGCAGATCACTTCATCATCTCTGTTGTTATTTTTTTGTATATCCTCAGATTCAGCAAGGAAAACAAGGAGACTATCGATCCGTACACGTACATGCCTTTCGGGGCAGGACCGAGGAACTGCATTGGGATGAGATTTGCTCTGGTGTTGATAAAGCTTGCAATAGTAGAGATCCTCCAGAGATACAGCTTCTCTGTGTGTAAGGAGACCGAGGTGAGGCCACAGATGTTTGTCTTTACACTGCTTGTTATTGCTTTTTTATAACGTATGAGTAATCCTGCCCAAATATTATTCATGGCTAGTTTGACAATGAGATCGAGGGTTATATAATATCATTAGATTTATGTCTAACAGTCCAAGGATCAAAAGTCAATCCCTGACACAGCACGTTAAACAAAAATACAGTTTGATTTGACACATTTCACACATTGAATTTGTATGTGCCAAAATGTCAGATAGTTTGTGGATTTCAAATAACAGCTGAGTTTTTTTCATTGTTCACCATGTTCATGATTCTCTTGTCATTTCCTGACAGGTGCCCCTTGAGATGGACGTTCAAGCCCTGCTTACGCCAAAACGGCCAATCAAGCTGAAGCTGGTGCCACGTTCTGAAGCCTCCAACTAAAAATCCAACAAAATGTTACAAAGACAGTTTCTTTACCAGAAAATCAGACTTTTATAACAGGTGGTGATTCTGAGGCACATACTGAAGTAAGGTGAACACAATAACAGAAACACCTTATGATACAGGCTACTATAACAGCACCAGCTGCTTTCAGTGGCTAACCATAAAGTTAAATCAAAACCTCAACAATAATAGATTTACCAAAGGAAATATTGATATTTATTGTGGACTGGCTACACTGGCTTTTACTATATTTTTTGCAGGCGTTTGTTTATTTACCCCGACATCTGTATATGTATAAGATTAGGACTGATGTACATTTAAATATTAGTCTGGTTTAAGGATTCTGTTAAAGTGCTCTAACAGGGTTCATTCAGATATCAGAAAACCAGTAAGTTAATTTTTGACCAGACCTTTCAGTGATAAAGTGCAGTTGGCTAAATGGCACACTGTGTTTGTCCCAGTGTAACTTATATCCATTTTGACGTTTCTATCGCTGCAGCGCTCTCATGTGGATGGTCTGCTTTTGTCTTTTCGTTCTTTTATTCCCCACGTGCTCCTGCTCCTTTATAAATCCTTTGTCCGAGTTTTTCAACCATCTTGTTCTTACCATGTTTATAAACACAGGGTAGAGATATAAAAAAAAAAACAAAAAGAAAAAAACTGAAGTGAGCAAACCAGCTTCTCTGCAGACACCACATGTTCTTAAGGTCGGGGACTGGGAAAGCGCCACCATGTCCAGGTCGCTGAAAATAGATTAAATGTGCGATATTATACCAGACCTGCCAAGAAAATGCACAATTTTCAGTTATCTTGATTGGGAGCCCAACTGTGGCATCTTGCAGATCTTAATGAAATTGTCTACAAATACAATGTTGTATACGTTTTCAGTGGCAATTTATTTTTAGATCAGACTACACATGTACTTATGGTTTTGTATAACAAAAACTTGTGCACTGATTTAAACGTATTCAATTTGACACTTAAGGAAAGGTGTGAAAGTGAAAGACCATAATAAATGATGCGTTTTGAATAACACTACAGTAGATCACAAATCTACAGATTCTGCTGAACTCAGCCTCCAGTTTCCTGGTCTGACGACATGAACCGTGGCCTATCGACCAAGGTGCCCAGATACTGTGCTCAAGGAAGGGAACTACACTCATGTATTTGGGATAATATAATTAAACATGGTTTTGTTTATACATATACACTGTATTATATTATGTTGGTTCTAGTTTGGAAGACTTGGATTATTATCTTTAAAGCAGCATCTTATGAGGGGGCAATAAACACGACACCAGTCCGGTTCCTAGGGATTCCACTCCCGTTTTTGCACCGACCCGGACTCCATGTTGATCCGACAGCAACGGAGCGAACAAGTGCTCTGGCCGAAAACTGAGGTTGCAACTCTGTGTGTGCAAGAAGTAAAGTGTGTACTCGTGTGAGTCTGTGACCCTCCGAAAAAAAAAAAAATGGCAGACTACCGGGACGACACAGGAGCTCGAGCCCTGCTTGCTTTACAATCGGCGCCGTGTAGCCCTGTGCGCGTCGCGGTCACATCGCACGCTTATCACCAGCCCTCGCTCGCCTTCTTTGGTCCTCCGGTGATGGAAGCTCGCACCGACGCCGGGATTCTTCCCGTGGGTCTCGCTTCTCCTGCTCCGCAGGCCCTGGCCAGACTCGAGGGCCGGGACTTTGAGTATGTCATGCGCCAGAGGACAGTCACCATAGGCCGGAACTCGTCTCACGGCTCCGTTGACATCAACATGGGTCACTCGAGCTTCATTTCACGGCGACACTTGCAGGTTATCTACGATGAGGCGAGTGGTTTCTCCCTCCGGTGCTTGGGCAAGAACGGCGTCTTCGTTGACGGGGTGTTCCAGCGGAGAGGAGCAGCACCGCTGCTCCTTCCCAGAGAGTAAGTGCAGTCGGTTAGCATATCCGCTACGGACAGGCTAATTGTGTGGTTGGCTGTTGCACACACTTTAATGTTCATTTTGTGCATTGACCTACTGATGGACAAACAGCGTTGGAACAGATATCATGATGAATTTTGTCTCCCCTTTAAATATACTTCCCCCATTGGACACCTGAAGGTTGACTCAAACTGTAAAACAACATTTCTAAAATTGTACGTTCACTCTGAGGAAACACAACAAAGATTTTTCAATAGTTTTACTGGATATATGAGTTTTAGTAAATGTTTTGACAGTGAGAACATTTGTAATGTTAAACGACCTCAGTATTTTAAGGGGAGAAGGTTCTGGATAGGATAACGTTACATAGTTTGTCATGACACCGCTATCAGTGCGGTTTGAACTGGTATAGATTGGACTATAACCTCGCTTTGGACGGTGTAGCATAATGAGCCGGTGTGTTTCTGTTCTGATTCACAGTCAAATTAGGATTGTTTATTTGTCAGGAAGCCTTTAAGGGACTCCACTATGTGAACCAGTGAATTAAGTTAGCGGTTAGCCAGTTTTAGCCGTCAACAAACTTGGTTTTAACGTTATATGGCTTTCCTAGAAGCTAATTAACAACAGTGAAAAGGGTGTTGCTGCCTGATATTTCGCAGATGCATGTTGCAGATTTTCTAGATAATCCAAACTTTTGGCTGCTGGTCAAAGTCGCCTCTTCAGGGCGATGATGTTAGCTTTCGAGTTGTGAGGCGGTTAGCCAGCCAACGTATCGCTTTCAAGTAAACATTTGTGTAAACAAACGTGTCCCTGAAAGTTCAAAGCTGCCCAGTGTTGTCGATTCGTCGTGTTTAGTTTGAACCTTTAAATGCTGGTCTTTATCATGGGGAGCCATCTGGTATAATGTGTTTTTAGTGTTACAGTTGTTGCATCCCAGTTAAGGCTAAATACTTTACCTTAACTGGTTTGTGCAACTCAGTTTCATTCTTTAAAAAAACGAAAGCTCGGCTGTGTGTCAGTCACAGGGTGGAGCGGGAGGAGGAGGTTATTGGGTTGTTCCTTTTATGATCTCTGATTGGCTGTCAAGACTGTTTGGGGGTGTGTCGAGCGTTGAACAGGAAGTGCAGGCTTGAAATGACATCCTCGTTGCAGGCGCACATGGAGTAAATAAAAGGCGTACAAGCCAAGGCCATATTCACCACAGCCATGTTTGCATGTGTGAGCCTGCACCTGTGACTACAGTTACAGCTTTGCATCTTTTATTGTTTAGTCTGGTTCATTTTTTGTGTTATTTGTTGTCTCAGAGTTTCCCTTGTGGTGTCTAGCAGAGAAATCAAAATGTAGAGCTGTGCTGTAGGCAGAAGGCTGTGTGATCAGACTGTTCATGGATCCAGTGTTGGATTGGCAGCTGTAATTTTCCAGAAGACAAATTAAGGACAATAGATGAAACATTTATTAATTTTTTTTTTTTTAATCATAGATTGGTGTAATTGTTTGAAATTGCTTACAGCTTCCAATGCAAAGGGAGCATGAGCCCTTAAAGTATTATGGATTCAGTTTCTTCCTCAAGACACAATCATTATAGTTGGGCAGATGGGAAAGTGGAAGTCACAACGGCTTAACTGCTCTAAATACACAATCCTGCTGCCAGTGGGAAATAAAGATAAAAAAGGAGTCCTGAAGCTCACACATATTACTGTTTTCAAAGGTTTTGTTTTGGCTTGAATGAACTAGAGCCTTTGACTTATCCTTGCTTTTGTTGAGGCAGTTGTCCCGACTCGTTAAAAGAAGAGAAGAGGAAATGCGGGCTGGTTTTTTTGTCCACAAATGTGCTGACTGCAGATATTGTTTATATTAAAAACAAACCCCTACCGTTAAGGGGAAAATGTCATCACTTTAATGATTTATTATTTTCAGTCAAAGACGATCCACAGTGGATTTATTTATTGTTTTACCCACTATGTGTGACTTAAGATATATAACAATATTGAATTTGAATCTTTATTATTGTCCTTGGAGACAGTAGTTGAGAAAACTAAAGTCTTTACCTGACTCCAGGAGAGCCCTGCACTAGAATTCCTATATGCCTAGACTGTGTGTTTATGCATAAATGGCAAATAAAAATCTTGAATCTTTGAAGGAAAAACAAAAAAAGTCTCACCAGAGCGTCCGTTTAGCAGCCATTCTGTAGGTTTCAATCGTATCACCTGATCCTCCCCGGCAGCTGGAGTTCAGCCAGTTGACGCAACCATAAATAATTAAATTTCCGTTTTTATGATAACTTTAAGACTAGAATTTTTATATTCTTACAATGAGAATTATAGAGATTTGTACATCTACAGTTTAAGAACAGCTGGGAAACTTTTCGGCCAAAAAGATCATGGGACATGATTGAAAGCTGCAGGACATTTACTTTACAGTGTTTTCTTGCCAAACATGGAGTCATTGTAAAAGACACTTTTTAAATATCGTCTCCGCTGTCTCTTTTCTCTCACTGTCTCGGCTTCCTGCCATTCTACGCCCTAGGTGTATGTTTCGGTTTCCCAGCACGGTCATCAAGATCCAGTTCTCGTCACTCCTGGAGGCCGAGGAGCACAGAGAGAAGGAGCAGCCCTCTCCTCCCCCACGTCCGCTTATGCCCCACATCTCTCCCCTCAAAATCAGCATTCCCACCATGCAGCAGCATGAAGAGCACATCAGGGCGTTTAGCTCCCCGCTGCCCTCGCCCACAGGTACCATCAGGTAAGGAGAGCACAGACGCTCAGATATGACCACATGTGCACAAAGATAAATGCAAACACAGCTTGTTACACACATTTGATAACAGCAAAGCAGATTGTCGAGATTTGGCAGAGTCAAAGTTTCAAGTAGACTGTCGGTTAAATGTCATCGCTGTTTTAAGCTGCATGCTACGCTTGCTGTATGTTTTGATGGTGTCTCAGGTTGTGAGTTTGGATAAATATTAATCCCAAACATAATTTTATTAGTCTGATAGAACATTAGTTTCCAACTAGGCCTATTTAAATCTTATAATCAAAAACACCAAGCCCTCTTCGCCAGCTCTAATTTGAGGATTTGCTGCTATTGTTAGTTTTATTTTGTATGTTTTTTTTCTTGTATTATTTGTTCTGTAAACTGAGCATCTTTAGGTTTTAGGCTGTTGGTTGTAGAAAGCAAGTAACTGGACATCACCTTGCGATTTAGAAAATCTTAATAAGCATTTGTTTTTACATTTTATAAAGACTAAATGGTTAATTTAACAGAATCGTCCCCTTTTTAATCGATGATGAAAATTGTTCTCTATTGAAACCTTACAGTTAATTACAATTAATTAGGTAAAGACTTCACCTAAGATGGTGCTTAATAATGTGTGAATTAAATGTCAGAATATTGCATTTATTGTTGTATTTGGCACATCTGACAAGGTTATTTATTTTTCCAAATGGGTATCAGTGATGGAGGAGCTATAGGATCATCTATCAGATCATTAATTTAGTGTGAGAAACTATGGACACTGACTTAGAGTGAAAGCCTTTTTACAAAACATCACTTTGACAGAATGACTTTGTATGTTATGTGACAGATTGTGTCGAAGGTCCGTCAGATCATAGGAGATGGTTACCTTCCCACTTCATCTTGAGTCTGTGCATGTGTACTCATGTTTGTGTAGTCATCTGTTTTTAGGCTCGGTTTCCTGTGGTTTTATTTGTCCAGTTGTCTCCCACAGCCTCCAGCAACAGCCTTTATCAGCTTGTTTCACTTATAATATCCTTTCTGATTTAAAGTGAGATCATCAGCTGCTGCAGTGTTTTCTGTTTTGCTCTAGTGAGCTGTGGTAGCACATGTTTGAAAATCACTGCTCTATAAATGTATGAAGCATGTGCAACTGGAGAGCGTGGTGGTACTGAGTGCGCCCCCTGGTGGTCTCTGTCTTTACATCATACGTCCCCATCACTGTCAGCTTGTGTGTGCATGCCTTATATGGAATGGCTGCAGCTTTGAGGAGCGTGATTGGTTATGGGGCAGATTGTTTTGCCTGTCGGTCGTTTTTCCGTCCATTCGTGGTTTCCTTTTCTGAGCCCCCCTACCCCTCCCACTCAGCCCTTAGCTCCTCTTCTCACACATGGATATGCACACACACAGGATAAAGACGCCTGCTCATACAGCTCCACGCCACCTTCACTGTGGCCTTTTTCGGACAGATTGTTGTGCCACCTTCTTACCAGTAGCCGCATACGGTACACACAGTGGCAGAGTATTGCATAAAAGCACATGACCCCACATTAAACAGCAACAGTGTCTCTTCAAAAGGTGGTAAAAGTCACTTTTCCTGTTTGGCAACTTAAAGAACTGCTTATATCATTTCTCTCCTGCAGCCAGCCACTTGTACTGCTGGCCCGTTTGCACAGTGAGAACTCTCGTTCCCTCATCCAGGCACACATTTAACGTTTAATGATGTATAGTGTTACAGATACAGTTACAATTTATACTTAAGATGAGCAACATTAGAAGTTTGTTCTTCATTGATTTTTCCAACACTAAGATTATCGAGCCGTCTTACAACAGAGCCTCTAGCTCAGTTTCCCCAGCCAAAATCTACAAACATATTCTCTCTCCCTCTGTGTGTATGATTCTCCCTGCATCTGTGGTTCTGTGTTGCCAAAGGCAAATCAAAGCACACTGACTCTCCCAGAAACCAGTGTTTACTTTACTAACAGAAGCAGGTGTATGTTGTATAATGAGTTACTGGGTTTTCCCTTTGTTCCGTCTCTCGACGGCAACAAATGAAACCCAGTTAATAATTAACATTAGTATTTTTGCTCAGTGGTGTGTGTGTGTTCTGTTTGCAGCACCATGGAAGTGAGCAGTCAGTGTGTGTCCTTGTCTACAGTTAATTAGTCACTAATATGTTTAAACAGATTCTATTCAACATATCAGTTTTGATTAAGTAATATAATCATTTTAATCTACACTATATTTCTCAAAACACAGTTAAATGACCTGAACTACATAATGATTGTGACTTTTAATTTCTTGGTATAATGAATAAGAATTTGTGTGATGTCACAGTGGATTCTTCAGTGTTTTTCAGTATTTTAGATTAAATACAGTATCCAGTAAAATGTTTTGAACTTTGAAATGGCAAATCTTCACTTGCTTCTTTTTTCCTGTGCCATGTTTCAGTCACCAGTCAGTACTGACTATGGGACTGTTTGACAAGCTGATATTTATTTATTTATTGCATTGAGAGGCAACAGATTTATGTCTGCTGTGTCTTGGCTCATCATCGGTTAACTTGCTGTCAGTTTAACCCATCCTAGAACAAAGATGTCCTTCGGTGTGGCTCAGTCGACCTGTTGTCCAAGAATTGCACATTACTGTCTTGATTTTGAGCTGAAGCCGAGCTGCTAAGTGATGTAAAGAAGCCGTGTTGTGTATCAGTGATGATCATGACTGAAAGCACATTCTTCTTTTTAGTATGGAGGCTGTATTTCTCTCAGAAGTAGCCTTAAACTGTCACTCACCAAAAAGTTTTTTTCTCTCTTCTCCAGTGTTCCTAACTCTTGTCCAGCCAGTCCACGTGGGGCAGGGTCATCAGGGTATCGCTATGGATGCAATGTGACCTCCGACCTCCAGTTAGCAGCTGAATATGCTGCCAAGGCTGTTTCTGAACAGAGACGAAGCTTAGCTGAGCAGAGAAGTGGGGGATGTGAGCAGCGGGGGGAGGCAGCTGGTGGAGACAGCCCCAAGGTGAAGACCCAGTATTACCACTAAAGTCACTTACCCTTAAGAAACTGCCAACACATTTTCAGGTTTAAACCATCTTACTGTATAACGTGTGTTTATTAATACTTGAGGACTCGTTTGTCCAGGATGAGTCCAAGCCTCCATATTCCTATGCACAGCTGATCGTCCAGGCCATCTCTTCTGCCCCGGACAAACAGCTGACTCTCAGTGGCATCTATGCCTACATCACAAAACACTACCCCTACTATCGCACTGCAGAAAAGGGCTGGCAGGTAAGCTGCTCCTTTCATAGACTGGATAGTAAAAGATTTATGCCTGTTTGCTGGTGACTTAACAGCTACGCAGAATGTGAAGGTTAGCTTAGCAACATCTAGAATATTACAGTACCACTGTTTTCACATACACGTTTGTGATTGTATGGTGATATCAGAAGACTTATGGGCTTTTGTATAGCTATAGCTACTGTCAGTAGTTTCAGAAGAAGAGAAAATAGTGTCCTGAAATGATTTTCCTGTTCAGGATGTTGGCCGTTGATACTTTCTTTCAGATTAGTAGCTCTGTGTGTCCAGTCACAAAGAACTTTACTTTGCCTCTCTACAGAATTCAATCAGACACAACCTGTCTCTCAACCGCTACTTTCTGAAAGTGGCCCGCTCTCAGGATGAGCCTGGGAAAGGGAGTTTCTGGCGTGTGGATTCTGCCTCTGAGAGCAAGTTGGTGGAGCAAGCCTTCAGGAAGAGACGGCAAAGAGGAGTGGCTTGCTTTAGGACGCCATTTGGACCTCTCTCTTCTAGGTAAGTGGATCACTTGTGGCCTTAAACTGCGTGGGCTTGTGTGCACAAACACACACACACACAAGACTGTCAGAGCCATGTTTTGACTCCTTTTCCCTTCTCTCTGCTTCTGTTCCTGGCTATCATTTGATTGGATAGAACAAAGTAAGTCTAAGCTTTAGGTTAATATATTCAGCAGAAGGTACTGGCAGTGAAGGAAATCTTGCAGTGTGTTAGTTGTTCTTCTATCTTGCCCTCACTCCCTTCATTTTGTTTTTCAGGAGTGCCCCTGCATCCCCCACCCACCAGGGACTTCTTTCTTCTCCATCCAGTGGGCTGCAGACTCCAGAGTGTCTGAGCAGAGAGGGCTCTCCTATCCCCCATGATCACCACGAACATCTGACTAACAAACTGGCATCTGTACCAGAGTACAGGTACTCTCAGAGCGCCCCAGGTGAGCATGCACATAGGTATACATAAAAACAAATCAATTGCACCCAGAGGCAAACAAAACAGAGCTAAAACAGATGAAACTGTTTGGGTCTGTCTCTACATAGGATCTCCAATCAGTGCTCAACCTGTCATCATGGCTGCACCTCCTCACCCGACAGTCCTGCCCTCAGGCCCAGGCAAAACCCTTGCTTTGATTCCAGGCGGCAGCGGCCAAGTCCAGCCCATCCACATGCTCCAGAACCCCCCACAGTCTACTGTCACCATGGTGCGCGTGGTTACCAGTGTCCCTCAATCTTCCAACCCCCCGAATGGGTACAGTGGCCCCTCTGTTGGAGGAGCAGAGGGCAACAGCGAGCTCAGAGGTATGAGAATCTCTTTGAAAGCCTTTCTGTATTATGTGACATTACTTTTACATTCATCTGCTCACCTACATGTTCCACTATTTTAAGTCTGATGTAGGACTCCATAGCTGTTCTGCACATTCTGTAGTCCAGTTCCTTCTGTTTGCTCCCAGTTTTAGTTTTATTAGCCACATACAGTATAACAAGTTCCTTAGGTCAAGCATTCATGTTTGTTTTGAACATGTCTGTCAACTTAGTAATAATAACCATCAATAGTGGGTCCATTTAAATCAAACTGTAGATTAAAATGGACTGAGCTATGCCTAACTCATTGCATATATTACAGGACTTATTTCTAAATAGTAACACTGACTGTATTCTCAGGTTTAAATATTACTAGTGTGATTGAACATGCCCACATACTAATTAACAACCAGTTGTCAAAGTCGGTGCTTTGTGCAGGTTATCACTCATGTAAGAGCAAGGCCTTGTCCTCAGTATTCCTGATAGTACTAATAGCTGTGAAAACAGTTTAATGGTCGTCCTTTTAAGACTTTTTGTTATAGGAGCCAAGTGCAGTTGAGGATGAAGCCTCTTCCATTTTTTATTGCTCGCAATGATGATTTT